AATTTTTCTGTTTCACAGACGTTCTAAGGAAAGTGTCATTCCGCTCATTGTGCGAGGAGGGAATGGGTTTGCCTTCTGAGAAAAGTTGGGGGAAAATTTTTCCCGGTTGTTGACTTTTAGCGGTTTTTCCTGTTTCACATATGCTATGTGCCTCCACCCACTCCTCCGTTCGACAGCAAGTTTTTGAGGTAGAGAAAAAGGAGTTTCCGGGAAGTTTGGGAAAGAATAGTACGAGTTTGGGGAATCTAAGAAAGTGGTAAGATGGAGAAAGGGGTCGCATTTTCCTCGTAATTCTTCCCCATTTACATGTGCTAAATACCCCTTCCCCCAGTCCGCCCGCTCGACAGCTCGATCGTATCAGAAGTGGGAACTAAGAGGGGAGGGTCGCATAAAGCCACCTTTCAGGGTTGACGGTCGTGCGGACTCGACAATACTCCCAACTAATGACTTGCCCTGATCTGGATCTAAACTACAAGCATTTGTGGGTTATAAAGTCCGAATTTTGTTTCCTGTTGAATTCTTTGGAGCGTATAGCTCCTTAGAATTTAGTTTTCAAAGCGACATAATGCATTCGAAGCGATGCGTCCTTACGCAAAGTAATGATAGGCATGGGCAATTTGTCCTTCTCATTGAAAGAATGGACGGAAGACGGATCACTGACCTTCAACCCAGTTCCGAAACCGCCCAAGTTTGATCTTTAAATCCACAGCCTGACAACATGGGCGGCTCGACATTACCCTGCACAGGATCTTCTTGCTCTATCCCATGACTAGATCAGTCCTGCATGTCGAGAAGTCTACTGACCTTTTATCACTATCCATCTACAATACATTTCAAAAAACATAGTCCAACACTGGTTACAGTTAAGAAATTTCTCTCCTTTCTGGCATGCGGCGGCCCATTCTTCTACAGCTTTCTTTGAGCCACTTGGCTACAGTAGCCTTTCGAGCTGTATGTTGTGCTGATGAAGTAATCAGGTCAAATAGTAGAGGTGAAACAACCTTTAGCTGTTTGAAAATGCCTCCAATACCAACAGGGATTTATAGCTGTGAGCCTTCTTCCCCCTCCCTCTTCCACTCCCTCCAATCACCCAACACTGTAGGCTTAATCGAAAGTCTCGATTTAGTGGCACACTTCATCACTTCGTTTTCTGGCCTTTCGTCCTCATGCTCAGTGTTTCTTCTCAATATTGCACACTGCTCATGATCAGAATCGACTGCAAAGAAGGTTCACTAAGGGTGCTTCGGAAGATTCTTTCCAGTTTCTTAATCACTGTGCGAGCTAGTTCACACCTCTGTACACATTGAGATTTTATCCCATTTTCTTTGTCCTTTCACAAATTCTACTTACCGGCGCAGTTTGCCGACGGGGGGGGGGGCATTTTGCACTTTCGTTGCTTCACTAGTTCTGGTTTACAAGTCTCACTCTGGTGAAACCTGTGAACTCTTGTGAAGCTGGAGCAAGCTCGTCAAGCCATCATGGTAAAACCTGTCAACTCGAGAAGAGGCTGTCTAGATGGGTCGACACGTCGATGGGAAGTCGTTAAAGTGCAAAATGCCCCCCGTCGTCCAAACAGCGCCCTGCTTACCCATTGAAGTCACACAGTGAACTTTGTTATGCCCTTTCATTCTACGTCGTCTTCAAAGGGATCTCCAATTCCGGGGCCCATCGGATGGGCGACCGGAATGTCTTCATGAGACGCTCTTGCACGAGCTTCTTAGCCTTGCTCTGTACCTGGGCGACGTCATCTGCCTAACAATCATTATGTCTTTCCTTCATTTTAATTTACGGCGAACCAAGTCCATTTCGTAACGAGCCCCTCCTCTCCTTCACTACCGCTCCGTATGAGAGCGCCAGTTACAGTGGTTTGTATGATCTGATCACCTTCTCACTCAAGAAATTCAGTGGCAGACCGTGTTATTATAGAACGTGACGCGAGCCTTCAATTCCCAAGTGCAGAAAAACGCTCGCTATTCATGCTGGCTATTCATGCTTGCAAGACCGCTGAGGCCGTCAAAGAATTCTTAACGCGAGGGGTATTTAGCTAGAGTGAGGGGTAAGCATTTCTGTGAGGTCTTTCGAATAGGGTCAAGCGAACGGTACCTCGAAAGGGTCATACTCCGCCATTTGGAGAGAAGGTAGTATCTCGACTAGTGACCTCTCCCGAAGGACAATTCTTCCAACTGATAAATTCCATTAATTGTGATATATCAGTTGTGATATACCCGCCCAAAGGATATCTAATTCTTGAACCCTCTCCTCCCACTCGACCCCAGTTGTATTCAGGACGTATCTCTCCATGGTGGCAGTGTTCAGAAGGTGAGTAAAGGTTCTCACCGCTCCTAGTGTGTCAAATGCCACGTCTTTCTCAATCAGGAGGGAGGTAAGGTACTAGAGGAAGCGGCAGAGGAGGTAGTGATCTGCCCCTTATTTTCCCCATCAGCATGCCCCGATCCCGACACGGCCATGATTCGCGAGAGACATCCGCTATTCAGTATGAACGGTCTTTTCCCGTCCCAAGCTTGCCTCGACAGTACAATCGTGTTGGGACACGTGGGAACGGACGACCTCTGGGCCTTCCACCAGCCACCGCATCCGCGGACCGATGGCGAGTGACGCATTACATTTCTGTCCCAACCCCTTCTAATGAAAGTGTCTTTTCTCTCTTCCTATCTCCTATACGTGGGAACCAAGGAAAGGTTTGTACAGAAAAAGGAATGGAAACTGCGCGTGTGTCCATTTTTCTCCTTCTAATTCATTGCTACTCAGTTTTACACTCTCAAGACAGACGATCATGATACGGTTAGGGACGCGAAGTTTCTCGGCGCAAACGGCCAGTGGCGTCACCGACATTTTTCTGTCCTTCGTTCCTGGTTATTACCTGTTTCAGATTTCTTTCTTCTCGGGCTTTAACAAAGAATCTTGGTACAGTTTACATAAAGGGATGCGCTAAACTAAGGCACACCCCTCTTAATTCCCTCCTTCGCGCTCTCGACGAAGACCTCCGAAAGACTGTCACAAATAGTTTTGCCGCGTGAAACGTGAACGATCCGCACTCGGGAAAGTTCGTTTCAGTCCAGATAAGACTCCAGGTCGAGACTTCTACCGGCGAACAGTTGCGCCCCCACTGATGCGTGTTTGACTTCTCTTTACATGGAACGTCCACGTTATAGTAAATTTGCAACTCTTGATTTGATTTATTGTGCCAAAGATTGCTATGAGAACTCCACTGAATTCGCGGCCTTGCGGTTGTAGACCTACTCGTTTTTCGTCAGGGCGAGAATCCACCATCGCGCAGCGAAACGGATGCACTTCTGCTGTTAGTTGTATGTGGAGTAATAGTTCCTGTGCATAGTGTACCAACTAAACTATCTACTAAAGCGCCGGTGGCGCCGTTCACCTAATGCGATGGTGGACTGACCTCTAAGGACGCCGATCGAATTTACTTGAGAATTCCACCCAGCAACCTTTTTGGCAAAATTTCATTTAACCCGTTGCCAACATTTTGTATGATGTTGTGGCGTGCGTGTGCGTTGTGGGCGGTTACATTAGAAGGGCCAGTCCAACCTGACGTTGTAGGTCGGAGTCTGACTACTCTATACGGCATAAGTTAGCCTTCTTTCCTCGTCATGTCAACGAGGGGGCAGGAACGTACGCTTTCACTCCGCCTCTATAGTTTTAGCGGGGAGGGCGGAGGTTGCGGCCCGGCCATGCACCTCTGGGGCCCACGCCAAAACACGTCCTCTCCGCCGCGTACACTCCTCCCCTGAGATGGGAAACGACGGTGTTTTGCGTGCCTTCAATGAACGTACCGAAGGCTACGCCTTTGTGAGAAACTGCGCCTTTTTTGGAGGTATTGTCTAGTGGCCTTTGTCCAGATTAGGACAAAGGCACAGCTAGCACAATTGTATCCACAAAATGAGGGTTGGTTCCCTAATGAAAGTGGCTACGACCGCTCCCGCCACCTCCACCCACACGCCACCACACCCCACAACCAGCACGTGTTCAGAGTAGTACGAAGCCACGCCCTTCCCATTCCCGAGACATGGATGACCATTCTGCTCATGTTGAAGGAGCCGTCCAATGAGAGCCAAATATGTTCTGGACCAACTTTTTCGCAAGAAAACTTTCGTCGGTGGATCGGCTCTCGACTCGCAGCTGAAACGATGTCTGGGAGTGATCGATGTGATGTTCATAGCTGTAGGCCAAATGGTTGGAGCTGGTCTCTACGTATTAGCTGGTAAGCTCAGTTTTCCCGTTTTTTGATATTTTTGATTTTATTTGTGTAGAAACAGTCGTTGACAAGTGGGGCTACTACTGCATGCGTAGGTCGGGGATAGAAATGCGGATCAAATCGAACCAGGCTGAACGTTCGGCAAGTCGTAGCATGTGTCAGGCCACGGACTGAATAGCCACTAACTTCTGAGTGTAGATAGCGGCTCCTCCCGGAAAGAGGCAAGTAAAGGGTGAACCGCTTGCTCCCGTGAGTCCCTTGGAGGGATGCGCCGTAAACTGAAACCGCTTTGACTCTTGCAGGGTATTGTGGCATGGTGGGGGCACCAGATGGTATCAACTGAAGTGTGTACAGGCCACCTTGTGTAGGCCTGCAAACACCGACAACTAAGTGGCTCTTTTGCGAAAGAAAGCGGCGAATGTGCAAAATGCCCCCACTTAATAGCGCCAATTTTTGCAATTACGTTCGAGATTTTATCGCCATGTATCATCATGTATCATATATCGCCATGTATATATCGCTATGTGTGTATTATGCATCTATGCTCAAACCACCCAATTCGAGAGAGCGTGACCCATGATCACTTGGAGGGAGACTCCTAGCATGAAAAGGCAGTCCGAACCACGCTTAACCAGATTTGGAAACATCTCGAATCCCCGTTTTCAGGCACAGTCGTACACAATCAGACGGGTCCATCAATCGTTATCTCATTTTTATGTGCAGGGTTTGCCGCCCTTATGTCGGCTTTTAGCTATGCCGAGTTCGGTGCCAGGTGAGCTACTGCAGTAGTGTGATTCCTGAATAACCTTCGTATTATGATGAGACAAGAACATTCTCGCAGGTTTCCTCGAGCCGGTAGCGCTTATACTTATACCTACATCGGCGTGGGCGAACTGGCTGCTTTCGGAATTGGTTGGACCGTCGCACTCGAGTACATGATTGGAAACGCAGGTTCAGTTTATCTATCAACCCCATTCTTTTGACACCTCCACCGAAAGCTTGTGGAAAACTTGAATGGTGTAGGAGATCCTAGCTGCTAGGGGTAAAGGTTCACAAATCGGAGAAAACACTCGGAACAGACCAAATCCACTTGCTTTTTCAAATAATTTTCTTCTTTTCTCTTTCTTTCTTTTCTTGTTTCCACTTTTTTTAATCTTTGAACCAAGGAGAGGCAAATAACACACAGGAATAATTCATCTATATAAACAAAATTTCCGTCGAACAAGTTGGAGAAAACCTAGAGGATTCAAGTCTTCACTTTTATTACACACTATTACAGACTATTCTCCCCTACTATACAGAAGAAGATTCCCTCCAATGGCAAAAAATGCCTTAGAAATGGGAATGTCGCAGCATTCGCACCGAGAAATAACTGACTCTATCTGACAGCACTGCCGTTTGTAAGGCTAGCGTGTGGTCTCAAAAAAGGAAATAGATATGTTGAACTATACCCGAGCTGCGACAGCCTGGTGAAAGGGGCGCGCGGCATTCGCGTAAGCGCCTATTTGCGTTGAAGGAAGTGTCACAGTAAGCAGGACTAAAAAGAAACTGGTCCAGCTAGAGATGCTACGCGCCGAACTATTAGGTTGTCCGGAAAGTTCTCAGCGTTTTGAGTGTTTCACTTTAAACGATCATAACTTTCTTAATACTCATCGGATTTAATCGAAATAAGCACCGTTCGAATCAGCACACTTTTGCCAATGTGACACCAGTCGATAAATCCCATCAAAGAAAAACTGGGTGGTCGAGAATCCGGTTGCCACGAAATCCACG